AACACTTAAATATGAGGGAGAATTCAGAAAAAGAACAATGGAAAAGTGGTGGTTGTCCATGTATGTCTCCCTCAGTAAAAGGTACAAGGATTAACAGAAAGATTATCATGCAAAGAAAAAAGCTGCAGAATTAATATTTTCATTAATCTTGCTCAAGGGTGATTTTTAAGTTAAACATAGATGCCATGCTGTCTTACTAAGAATTCAAGAAACCTTCTAGAAGAAATGTATATTATTTCTGAAAAGCAAGTTGGGGCTACATTTTTAAACTACAGAACTGCAATCTTGGCAAATGTAAAAGAAAAATAATTCACTCACAGCAGAATTTACTGGCGTTAAATCTGACATTAGGCTACCCACTTCTACCACAGAAGCATTGAATATCCTAAGCTGGAAGAGACCCACAAGGATTGTTGAAGTCCAACTCCTGGCCCTGCACAGGCCAATCCAAAATTCAACTATGAATTTGAAGGACTCACATCCTTTCTTGAATAAATGCTCCAGTAACTGTAAACCACGGAAAATTAAACCGCAGAAGTATGAGGCCACCTATCGATATTTACTGTTCATCCAAGAGCAATGGCATCAGACATGAGCCCATTTCTGAGTGAATGCTCACAGCCCAGTTACGGCATGGATTCTCCAATTCAGTGAGAAGTACACATGGATGATGCTTTTGAAATAGATCAAAATCAATTGCCCTTCTTCAGGCAATCCCCTTTCTCCTTTCCTCTCTTAGCTCCAAATACAAATGGTAACCAAAATGCTGCCTTTGCTTACTTCTCCTACAGATCTTGCAATGGTACTATAGCAGTCAAACTTCTTAAAGAATACACGTGTAAGAAAAGCAAAGCTCAAGTCATTGTTAAATTATGCAGAATTCAGGAGATCTCTGCTGCTTTCTGAGTTGTGTCCTTCATGAAAGATGGAAGACTTCCCCAAAGCCTGGGATTTGGAACTCTTTTTCCACAGACCACATTCACTCAACTGGCTTGTACTTAATTTGAAACCAGATTCTGTATATTCTTACCTGTATATTCTTACTCATGAGTCAGAAACAAAGAGGAGCTCAGAGACAAGAGGATTAACTTACTTGGAGCAGTACTAGATGAAATAGCAGCATATAATCAGACCAGAGGATAAATCAAGAACTTCATTATGCCCAGTGATATAGAAATGCCTAAAACCCACAAAATAAGTGTACATTTCCCAAACAAATCTGGTCAAGTTTGGTTTAGTGTGTGGCTGTAGTGACTCTGCAGTTCACTGAGCAAGCTGCTTATCTCATAGCTGTCTTGCCATGAGCCATACCTGCCTCCTTCTCTCTACAAAGCCAATTTCTGCAAAATGGAAAACAACAAAATTAAAATTGCAGCACTAAGATGCTGCATTTATTCAATTCATCTTGCATCACAAACCTGTATGGACATAATGTGTCTCACTACAAAAAAAGAAAAAAAAAAGAAAGAAGAAAGAAGAAAGAAGAAAGAAGAAAGAAGAAAGAAGAAAGAAGAAAGAAGAAAGAAGAAAGAAGAAAAAAGAAAAAAGAAAAAAGAAAAAAGAAAAAAGAAAAAAGAAAAAAGAAAAAAGAAAAAAGAAAAAAGAAAAAAGAAAAAAGAGAAAAAAGAAAAAAGGGGGAAAGAACAAAGAACACATTTTTAAGTATGACTCTGACCTTTACGATTTACAAACAAATTAAATTCTACAGTATATCAGGAAAGCACTAGGTATTCAGTAATGTAACACCTTTTTTTGTTAAAATCTGGCAGGGCACAGAAAAAATAACACATCTCCTGAAAGGCGTTGTGATTCTACTAGAAGATACAAATGAAGATAAACTACAGGTTTTTCTGTGTATCTAAATTACTTTGATATTGAAAAGCATGTGTAGCTTGAATGTTTCCTCCTTTGAGCTTCAGACTGACACTGTAATTTGATGATGGTAATTCTCTTTCCTGGTTTTCAGAAGAAACAAGTTGTCAATCTGAAGTATCATATCAACAAAATCATAATACATTACCTTAGCAATTGGAAGTGTATCAACATAATAATCCATACAGTGATAACTGAAGTCACAGTTAAGTATATAATCTCAAAAACTATCAAATGAATATAGCAAGTAATAGAAAAGGACAGTATGTCAACAAAATTATTTCCCAGTCCTCCTGGGACAAAATTAGAATACTTTGCTTTCCATTTCACACTTAAGCCACAGAAACAGGAAATACAGCACATTTCCTTATATCATAAGGAATCCCAAACCTTCAGACTACTGCCTAATTCAGTGTAGGCCCTCAAAAGCCAGAGCAAGAAACAGCTTTACTTTGAAACAATGATAAATCTCTCCTTACCTGGAGGACAGTACTTAGTACTCCTAAAGCTCAGGTCATCATATCGTTAATTATATTGTGCCCACCTATTCCTGGAGCAATAGGTGGTAACTAGGAAGTGCACATCCCAAAACCTTTACCACAGGCAAAAAAGAGAAATTCAATTTTACCTTTTAGCAGACAAAGGTTAATGCAATAGAAAAACATATAGTCAAACACAGGAGAAGAGTAAATAAGTGCTTCATTTCCTACAAACTAAATTTAATGAATGCAGATTGTAAAAACCTGGGTCAAAGCACTGCACTGCAGAGGAGTCACACACAATTCAATGGATCAAAATATTTTGCCTTCTCTTTTCCATTATGATCATTCAGGGAAGAAGTTTGCTTAACTAGTTGATTTTCCCTTCGTTAGTCTCTTTTTGTTAGAAATTATTTCAGATTTGTCTGAGGTTCCAGTTTTATGGCCTTGGAATATTAAATTCAGGCATTTTAGATAAGCCACTCTATCCCTGTCCTGTCACTCCATCTAATGATTGTAACACTTAAATCATTATAGAAAGCATTTAGTGCAATTTTACAAGATAGTTTATGCATTCTTGCAGCGAAAGTCTGTCAAACTGCTTACCAGACAGTGTTCTTCAGTACACAGTCTCCATGTTCACAGGTGTGCTTTGCCATGTAATGCTGAAATCACGTCTCCTTTGCACACTACAGACACATTTGCCATTTGTTTTGTGTACATTTTCAGGACAAAACCATGCTCCATTTCAAATCCTCAGTGTGGGTTTATATTTTAACTTCTTCCTGTCCCCTCACATCAAAATCAAAAAGCATCGGTACAGACATCATTGTAGACTACACATTCCAAATAGCACCCAACCTCTTTTCAAATCAGATTCTACAGACCAGCCGAATTTCCTTTCCCAACACCTGATAAAATGTCAGACTTTGCTTTTACCTCAAATACCTCGGCACTTCTCTTGGACTGAGCTAATTTCAGTTGTGGTAATGACTGCCTTGAAGTCAGGTGACAATTGCCCAGCTTGTTTTAGCTTCATTCCATGGGTAACGTATATGCAAAGATCTGACAAACTTAGAGCATTACTGCTTAACAAACAGGCTGTATGATAACTGGGGCCAGGGGAGGCTAACTATGAGCTTTGCCTAATTGCTAATGGGTGAAAACTAAAACTCTACCTGAGAACCAGATAAATACAATGAGTAAGCAGACCATCAGACAACAGAAAAGTGTTGTAACTGTGGTAGGAAAGGAAAACACCAACGCAGTGACAGTACCCCACTGCAAACCAGTATCAGCAAAAGGACAGGGAGAACTTGCTTCACTTACAAGGAAAAGCCACACAGTGACACCATTTTATGAGATCTCATCAGATGGTATGGAAAAATAGAAGGGAAAACTAGTCTGATTGAAAACTTTCCTTCTCATCTCACTATAAATTAAATTAAATTTAATCAGATTTAGCCAAACTAGACAGAACAACTAGCTCTGGAATCAGAGACAGCCTTCAAGCCTGCACAACTCTCATCGGTATCTTTATCCAAAGTTGGAGCAGACAGAAATGGTGGCACTTCACTGAGAAGTAAATGACTTTTGAAACCTTTCCTAAATCAGAAAGATTAGGAAAATTTATGGTCATCTGCAACAGCCTACACCAGTAAGAGTTCAGTAAAAGCATCCTGCAGTTTTGTGTTCCTGTAACAAGTCGTCCTGGTTGAAGAAAGAGGTCAGAGCTTAGCATCGTGACCAGGTTGTTATTCTGCACCATACATGCCATCAGTGGAGGGTATGGTTTCCGTAGGAAAACCCTGGTGCTCCACTGGGAGTTAGCCATTTTGCCTGCCCAGCCATCATGCTGCCTTTGTCCGAGGACACAAACTACTGGAAGCATCCAACAATACTCCTGTTCCCAGTGGCGAACACCCGTTTTTGTCACTAAAATACCTTCTTGTTGTATCCTTTTACTATTAATATTGCTATTGTTACTGTGCTATGTCTTATTCTTGCTTTGTGCTTTCAGTAAATTGCTACCTTATCGATTTCTTGAGGTCGGGAATGAAGCCACTTAAGATATCATTTCATGTTCGGACTCAGGTGTTTCTCATTTCTTATCTACGCTACAGTCTCACTACCATGATTGTGGCACATTTTCATTAGCAAGGCACAAAATGACTAACTCTTGTTACAAGGTCTTTTAAAACTAAACTATCCAATTAAGAAAGGACACCTAGATTATTTTCCCTTTTAACCCAATAACTGATCCCCCAAAGTCCACAATGCTGACTTTTCTGTCCAGTCACAAAGCATCACCCAAACCCATGAAGAAGGAAGAAGGTAAAGAAGAACAACCTGCCTCTGCCCTTAAACCTCCATCTAGCTTCATACTTATTTCTATATTCTAAAATCCTAAACTCTAAGTTTTCCACCCTGTGATAGACTTCTAACCAACTACACACCCATAATCCCAGTGCTATTAATCAATTTGAAAAGCCTGTTCCATGACTTCAGGTCAAATGCAGTGCTCTCTTGTGGGTCCGTGTCTTTAAGTACAGAAAGTTTAAAATTCTCAGCATATAGGATTCCAACACTGTCTCAACCCCTAAGTTCTGCTTTTGCCCCTCCCTTACTGAAAGAGATAAAAAAGAGGAGTGGCTTACTTGGAGTTTATTTTCCAGCAGATGCTAAAACAGAACACAAGTCAAATTAAAAAAATATTAATATAATCAGAGGCAGCACTTGTGTTAATGAAGAAACAACTTATTATATTTGCCCATTTTGTCATACTCAGCTTTTAAAAGTACACATTCAAGGCTGTGGTGTGAAACATTGGTGTCATCATCATACTCCATCTGAACCAGTTTTGTGTATGCAGCACCATGTACTTGGCATACAAAATTCAGACATTTTGGAAATACAGCTCATTTGAGAAGACACTTGCACATCATTCCAACACCAATACCAAATGTTCTGTAGGGTCAGAAAGAATGTATATTGTAGCATCCCATGAACTCTCTGCTCTCAGCCAATTCCCAAGTCCTCTGCCCCAGCAACACCAGTCACTACCATAGAGTAGCTCTCCTGGGGGGAAAAGACAAGACTCATACAAAGACTTCCCCTGGTTTCTCCTTTCCCTGTTCCTGCATTGGTTGGATACCCCTGGTGGCTGCACCCTGCCCAGCCCTTAGCTCCTCCCTCCAGCCCTTCCCCTTCTTAAGCTGCCTGCTCCATGGGGTTGTCCTCTTTCTTGCTGGGTTACCTTCAGTTTCACATGACTTTGCTGGAATAAAACCTTGCCAAAAGAGCCTTTCTTGCCTCTCTCGCTGAGCCAGCTGCGATGAGTGTGGTGTGTGGATCTGACTGTGTTGCCTGAATGTTTACCCAACTTGCTTTTCTACAGGAGAGGTTTTTGTTGGGAACAGATATTAGGCAGCAGCACCCATCATCCATCTCCCACATTTTAGTATATATTAAGTTTACAAATTTGAGCATTTGAATTTATACATATATTCCCCTTAACTGTAATGAATGGTGTTCTAAACCCTTTTCCATATTAAAGTTTTCCTCTTCTATAAAAACTTTTCCATAATTTTGACTAACAGCATATTCTGCTTTCAGCTGGGAGTTGATTTTCTTCCTATTAGCTGGTACAACACTATCATTTGGATTTAGAAAAGACTAACACTGATAATACACTAATGGTTTTAGTTACTTTAGATACTGAGCAGTGCTTAGTCCAAGCCAAGGACTTTTTATTTTCTCGTGTTCTGCTAACAAGGAGGTGAGCAAGAAGCAGGGCCAGGACAGCTGAGCTGAACTGACCAAAGAGATATTCCACACCACAGAACATCATGTCCAGTATATAACCGGGAAGAGTTGGCAAGGAGGGACCAGTCGCTGTTCTGGGATGGGGTGGGCATCCATCAATGGGTGGTAAGCATGGGTATTATGCATCACTCATTTTTCTTGGGTTTTACTCCTCTTTTGTTGTTGTTGTTGTTGTTATTATGAGTTAATTTATTTAAATTATTAAACTATTCCTATATCAATCCATGGTCATGGGTATGACCTTTCTTTCAGTTTTCTTTCCCATCCTCCGGGGGGAATCTGTGGACTGCAGTGAGTGAACATCTGTGTGGTACTCCACTGCTGGATGGATTTAAATCAGGACATCATATTAAGCCATTTAACTACTCCTTTCAGTAACCTTTGTGTGCTTTCAGACAGCCACTGTACTTCAATTCTTATAGTGAATACACATCTTCATATGCCAGGGCTCTCTCCACATTAATGTTATCTCCAACAGGTCCAGTCAAAGATGAAAATTTCTGTAAGAAACCAAATTTGATGTTTATGATTCTGTCTCTGGTGTAATTTCCAAGCTTTTTGTTTCACATCCTCTAGAACCTTTCAAATCGTAGACCCACACAGTGTCTATTCCCTCTCCAGTAGTATGATCTGGAATCCAGCAAGGGAAAGGGAAGCGACAGGCAATGATTCTGGCATTACACTTAAGTTCTTCTTCTAGCTTCTTCTCCAGCTGTGGCATCTGTTGAATTACAAGAAAAACCTCTCAGAAACAGTAAAAACCAGGAAACCAGGAGCATTCTCTTTAGAATCTAATTCAGGTGCTCAAGAGAAATCCAGTATTTGAGTAATTTTTTTTTTTTTAATCTTAGGAACATATTCATGATATATATTTTGGCTTTGATGCCTTGACAAAGAATATCTAAAACCAGAAAATGGTTATTTTCAAATTCAAATTTAAATAAAACTGCTGGGAAAAGACTGCATGCTCCAATTCATGATTCTCTTTAGTGGGATTCTTCTCTGAGGGAATGAAAGTTCAGCCCCCTGAATTTATGCTATTTATGACACCCCAAGGTTCATGAGCTATTGTGTTATACTCAAAGGTCATCATGGCTCAAAATTTAAAATCTAACTCTAAGACCAATCCTGGGACACTCAAAACATCACACAGACAACAACTCAAAGCAAGCATTCTGCTGTCAGTCTGTGGTAAAATACTGTTACGTTAAATAATACTGAAACTGAGCTCAGTCGAATCCTCACTCCATTAACATAGGCATGTGAATCCCTTCAGCAACATTCCATGAAAGAGAATGTAGAATCATGGAATGGTTTGGATTGCAAGGGACTTTTAAAGGTAGTCAAGTTGAACACCTCTGCCATGGGCTGGGACATCTTTAACTAGATTAGGTTGCTCAGAGCCCCATCCAGTTCCCATCTACTGCCTCTCTTAGCAACCCGTTCCAGTGTTCCACCATCCTATTCATAAAACTTTTCTTACTTATATCTAATATGAATCTGTCCTCTTTTAGTTTAAAGCTATTACCCCTTGTCCTATCCCTACAGGCCCTACTAAAAACAAGATGTCTCTATCTTGTTTACAAGTCCCCTTCAAGTACTAAAAGGCCACAATAAGGTCTCCCCTGCGTCAAGCCTTCTCCAGGCTGAATAACCCCAATTCTCTCAGCCTGCCTTCACAACAAAGGAGCTCCTCTGAACCCACTCCAACAGGTCTGCATCCCTCTAGTGCTGGGGTGCCCAGAGCTGGATGCAGCACTCCAAGTGGGGTCCCCCCAGAGCAGAGTAGAGGTGGCAGAATCCCCTCCCTCACCGTGCTGGCTATGCTGCCTTGGATGCAGCCCAGGACATGTTTGGCTTTCTGGGCTGGGAGTGCACATGGCTGGATCATGTCCAGCCTCTCATGCACCAGCATCCCCAAGTTCTTCTGGGCAGGGCTGCTCTGATCTGTTCATTCCCCAGCCTATGTTGGTACTTAGAGTTACCCTGACCCAGGTGCAACACCTTGAACTCGGTCTTGTTAACCCTCATAATATTCCCATGGGCCCACTTCTTGTCCAGGTCCCTGTGGATGGCATCCTGTCCTTCAGGCACGTCAAGTGCACCACTCAGCTCAGTGTCATCTGCAAACTTTTCTGAGTGCACTCAATCCCAGTGCTTTATGCCATTGATGAAGATATTAAGCAGGACTGCTTTAATACAGACCCCTGACAGAAACCAGTTGTAACTGATCTTCATCTGGACACTGAGACATTGACCATTACTCTCTGAATGCAGCTATCCAGACAACTCCTTATCCACTGAACACTCCATTCACCAAATCCATCTCTCCCCACTCTAGAGAGCAGGATGCTGAGGGGAACCGTGTCACATACCAACTGTCCTTGGTTGAATACCTACAGTCCAGCTTTCCTCTATTCACAAAAACTGACAGGATATGAAAGTCAGGGGAAATAGCACTACTTTTCTAGAACAGAGCAACACCCTGACCAGTCAGATGCTCCTTTTCTAATAAGGACTTTGCTAATTCTGCCATGAATTAAGTGAGAAATAAATTAACACATGTAGACTTAAAAGAAATTTCTTTTCCATCCCAGATAGTGATTATGTCCTAGGGAAAAAAAAAAAGAAACCTAGCAGATTTAGCCACTTTTGCCCTTTGGAAAAGTTTGATGGTGTGTTTAAGCAGATCAGCAGTGCACATCCATTTGAAGTTCCTTTGATTCTTATATATTATATCTATCTGAATAAGTAATTTTAACCGCAAATTCTACAGGCTACGTATGTTACATGTAAAATATGATTTACTTTGGTTACCATGATGTAATGTTTAAATATTAAAAAAAAATAATAAAAGGGCAGTAGCTATTTGCAAATATAGCTGAATTTAAGTCACAAAGACAAAAATACATAAAATTTCAAAAAAAAAAATAAAAGAAACAAAACCCAAAACAACATTATTAGAAAATAAGACTGACTAAAGAAAAGGTATTACCAAAGGCTGCAAAGAGCTTCCACTATCACATGCAGGGTGAGCCTTTGATGTGGTATCTTATTATAGCTACATTTAAGCTAACAATTGAATATTTTAGGAAAATTAAAGTCATAGATCTAATATACCAAAGAGTTGCCTCCAAATATTTTTAAGGCTTTGATTTCATCCACACTGCAAATGCTTTTAAATACCTTTGCTGCCTTAAACAGCTAGAAAAATAAGCCTACTAGCACTTTAAACTAGAAAAATAAGCCCACTTTGCTGTCTAAAACTGAGTTGAGGCACCAGAAAAAATTTTGTTACAGAAAATATAGACATGGACTAATTTTTTAGGAGTAATTATGAAAATTAGTGACAAATTAGCACAAATTGGAAAACATCATTAGTAGTTCAGCCAAGTTTAGCCAAAAAGAATCCTATCCTTGAACCAGTCAAACTAGTTTTTAAGCGAAATATATCAGTTACATTAGGTGTTACAATCATACTGTATTTTATGTGAAGCCAGGGTTTGGGGGAAATTTTTAATGTGTCAACATAGATACATAGTTTAGTAAACCTTTTGTACAGTATATAATCAGTTAAAATACTCAAGAGCTGCAAACATGAACACCTGGCAAGAATTCCATCACCCTCCCCTGAACAAGTAAGTCTCTCTCTGCAATAACTCAGAAACAAACACACCTTCCCCCCAGATGCTTTCAAGAACAAGAGAGGTCTTAGTCTTCCCTGAAGATTAATAAATTCAGGTTTTTAAAGCTAATCTCAGATATGAAATATAAAAACACTGTGTGAAAGCATCAAATCAGGCCAGCATTATTAAAAAAGCTAAAGAGATCTATTGTTCCTAAGTAAAAAAGAACAAATGCATTAAGGTTTCTAGAAAATTAATTTAGTCATTCAGGAAGCTGGGCATTAACAACTTCTGAAGTAAACTCAAAGGGGATCATCAGCAAACGAATGCTTAGGAAACACAGAGGTTCATATGTTTGCAGCAGTTGCATTTATGACAGTACTTTGCTGAATTTAACCTAGTATTTACTGGATCTACAAAAATTATCCTGAACCCTATAGCTACCCTTTCTATCACAGCTAATGTGTGCCACTTTATTACATTTAAAAGTTATTTCAGTATTTCTGCTGAGTTTACTCACATTTTCCCAGGGCATTTGTTTATTCTTAGTTTACTGAGACAGCAGTGGCAGAACTCCTGACCACAAATCCAAAGTTTTCCAGTGCCCCCTGCTGGAACTCAGGCAAGAGAGTACCCAGGGCTGGCAGCATGAGGAATATCCCGGTGCTCACTAAATCCCACCCATACGCACTTCAGTTTCCAATGCGGGTTACAATTGGAATCTGAAGTAGAAATTTACTTCTGGTGCCGTTGAAAAAACAAACAAGCACAGAATAGGAAGATTTATTACATTTCCTGTTACTGCTGCAGAAATGTTTTCAGTGTATGCTGTATGGTGTGGCATCACATAAAGATCTTCACTCATTTCATCTCACACCTGCCTTAGCAAAGGAACAAGCAATACAGAAGCACAGGATAACAGGATTGGGTTTGTTCAGCCTGGAAAAGAGATGGCTTCAGGGGAACCTAACTGCAACCTCCCAGTACCTGAAGGGAACCTACAAGATGGAGAGGGGCCTTCTACAGGCACAGGAAGTGACAGGACAAGGGGGAAGAGATTCAAACTGAAAGAGAGTGGGTTTTGATTGGTATTAGGAAGAAATTCTTCACATGAGGGTGGTGAGGCAATGGAACAGGTTGCCCAGAGAAGCTGTGGATGCCCCAGACATGGAATTGTTCAAACCAGGTTGGATGAAGCTCTGAGGAACCTGGTCTAGTCAAGTGTCCCTGCTCATGGCAGGGGAGCTGGAACTAGAGAAGAGAAGGTTGCATGCAGACCTCATAGCAACCTTCCAGTATCAGAAGGGAGCCTACAGTGAGGAATCTCCTGATGAAGCTGGAGAGGGTTGCTTCATCAGGAACTGCAGAGATAGGACAATGGAGAATGGATAAAAAGTGAAAGGGGAAATTTAGGTTAAACATTAGGAAGAAATTCTTTACTGTGAGGGTGGTGAGACACTGAAACAGGTTGCCCAGGAACTGGGTGTCCCAACCCTGGCAGTGCTCAAAGCCAGGCTGGATAAGGCCTGGAGCAACCTGGTCTAGTGGGAGGTATCCCATGCACAGGGGGGTTGGGACTTGATGTTTAAGGTCCCTTCCAACCCTTACTATTCTATGGTTATTACTGACTACCTTTGACCATCTGTAGCTTGACTCATTTTGCAGATTATTGTATTAACACTGAATGCCTTGGCATTAAAATAAATAAACATTGTAACAATAATTTAACAGTATAATAAATAAAATACAGTAATAAAGAAAAAAAATAGCAAGCTTACCATTTGAGGTACTCCAAAAACAACAACATTCCTATAATGGGAATAAGAAACCTAAAATAAAATTTGAGAACAAAACTTATTGAAAATGGCACTTAGAGAAATTTTCACCATTCTTTTCTCCTAATTCGTCTAGCTGCATTTCTTTCAACAGGGATTTAGATCAAAAATATGTAAGGAGATCCCTTACCAACTTTTCATCACAAGAATTTCCACATCAAGAAAACTTTATACCGCCGAACAGCAAAAAACTTCTACTATCTGGCCAAGAATATGGAATAGTAATTCTAGAAGCACAGAAAGCATTCATTTAGAAAATACCTACATGACTTTACTAATAACTAAAGGGTCATTTTCACAACTCCTGTATATGATAAAATCATGTATGCTTTAAGTTTGCCCCTTCTTCTTTTAAATGTAAGCTAGCTATAAAAACTTCCTAGGCATTCTAATGACCAAGTTCTTCCACTCAGTGCCATGAAGTTTTCTTATGTTTCTCTCTGAACACAAACCTCCACAGCCAAAAAAAAACCCTCCCACATAATTCATCAGGTCCAGGATTGCTCAAGGAGCTGCTACTGATAAAGGAAGCACTTGAATAAAGCACAAAAGCAGCAGAACAGCATACTGAGCCCAAAGAAACCAGATTCCCAGCACAAGCACTTTGCTCAAAATCCAGTACAGCACCTTGAGGTCAGACAGCATTTCAGCTTTTTCAGGAAAGTATTTCCAAACTTATAAATCTCTCAATCATCCCAGATCCATTCTTATATAATTCACCACCCACCTTCCATAAGTCCAAAATATGAAATTTGGTGTTCTGATGTACTCCATCTCTCCAGGCACTATATCTGGAGTACCAGACTAGCCAGGGATTCAATTCATAACCAACAGCCTGGAATCCCTTTTTTGCAGCTGCTATCACCTACAAGGAAGAAAATAAATCTTCACTTTGAAACATAAAAGTCAATTCACCTAAATAGAAGCTCACAGTTTTATTTAAAATATAAATCAAAGGGAAGCACTTTCCTAAGTCACCCTGGGTTTAATGCCCAACACATCAGCTGTATAGTGAACAGAAACTCAAAACTACTTTTTGCTATTATTACTAGTCCAACTGAAATATAGTTAGGCAAACAAAATGAAAACAAATCATCACAGGGCAAAGCTGTGAGCTTGGAATACATCTGTGATCCATATAAAAGTTTAATTTAACACATTCATTACAATGTCTTGGAATTAAAGAGAACCAACATTGATCACAGAGAGAACAGTGAAACTCACAAGCAAAAACACTCAAAATTAGACCACTTATTTGAAAAGCAGTGAGGGATAGGCACTTGAGCAGCTCCTGAATCAGAGCCAAAATGACATACCAATAGAAAGAGTGTGAAAGCAATCTTAATCTACACTGAAAAAAAAATCAAAAAATGCACTGATTTCTAGAATAAAGGTTTAAGACATAATTTAAAAGGCTAGAGCAAACTTCTAATCAGCAATCATCTGATGAACTAGCAATTACAAAACAAGCAAGCTGAATTCAGAAAGTACACATTTCTTAACAGAACTTCTCAAACAGCTTTACCTAGACCATGTATTTCATGCTGTTAAAATAATTAATCTTCCATCACACAAGGAGCACTTGAAAATTCACCAAAAGAATCTGACATTTTTACCAGACTTGGAAGTGTAGTAAATTTCTTCATATTTATCCACTGATTACACCTGAGTAAGTGCTAAATAATGAAAAGCATTTGAACAGACTTTGTCAGGGCAGATGCATCAAGGAAGCACCAAGCATTCATTTTTAGGCACCTGGCTTTCCAAATAGTCTTCAGTTTCCATTTGGGCACCTACATATCAGAATCAATGACACAGTACCTATTAAAATTAAATACCTCTGATGAGAGTCAGCAGCCACAATGATGAAGTTTCTGATGGCTAAGTTATCTCATGCCTAAGTTTTTTGGTCTTTTTCATACCCAGGCACAATTCAAGCAATCTTCACAGACATGGGGCTCCAAATCAACTTTTTTCTTACATGGACAAACAGTTGACTCATTCACATAAAACATGGACAAAGGTAGCATTCAAGAACTCATGTGTTCTCATCAAAAACTACCATCCTGTTGGCAAATCTGACTTGAAGCAGATAGTTACAAAAAAGCAAAATGTCACAGCAAATGACACAAGTTAGTTACAAATGACACAAAATGTCACAGCAACAAAAGAAAAACCAAAACACAATTTTCCACTATATCCTCATCATATTTCATAAACTGGGGCTCAAGCAATACCCTGGAAACACAGTATCACTTTTTCTTTCATGATCCTCACAATTTCTCTTGGTATTTATTCCAGTTTCACCACATGGATTTGGAAGTGGGGAAGCCAGCAGTGCAAAAAGGTTTGAAGACTACAGTTCTAACCACACCAGGATTCTTATTTTTATAATCCATCGCTCACTGCCCATTTATTTTTACACTTCTATCACCTTTATACATTAAACATCTCACAGCTTCACTTGCTGCAGCTACACACCTTTGTGGAATCACAGCTCTTTGTCAATCAGCACCAAGACTCTGAGAGCATCTTGCCAAGTGAATGCACTGTGATTCCCTCCAGTCGCCACAATGACATTTTGTCCACTACCTTTGTCAAGCTACAGTTAAGACTGCAGCAAAACTATTTATTATTCATCAAAACTGAATGTAAACCTTTCTCAGATTCTATCCTTTCCGTAAGACTCGGAGACAACCACTGGCTGCCAAAGACAAGACATTTTTAAGCGTGAGAAAACGCAGCCCCAGCACTTCGGCATTTTTTTAAGAGGCAACATCCATAACTTACAATACGGCCATCTCCGCTACCAATGTCAACTAGGGAGCCACTTCTGTTTTCCAACATCTTCAGCACGTTCTGGATCTGAGCGGCGGTGGCAGGAACGAAGGGCAGGCACACCTTCCTCAGGGCCGGGGTCACGAAGGGGGTGGCTACAGCATAGAGGGCCACCAGGGTACCTCCCAGACCGGCCGCGGCCAGCAGCCCCCAGCTGCTCCTGCGGGAGCCGCCCTCGCCCTCCTCCTGCGGGACCTCCTTCGCCAGCGCCTGGGACATCACTCCTGGGGACGGACAGACAGCGTGTTCGCTCATTTCAGACAAATCAGTGTCCTGTAGTAAAGAGCTACGACGTAAAGAGATGGAAAAAACCACCCTACACTTCAGCCAACCCCAAGGAAACGCTACAGCGTCTGAAAAGCTGAGGCACGAGAGGGCAGGAACGGGGTTCCCATTTAAACCCCGGGCCCCCACAGGCGGGCGGGCAGGCAGGGATCGCCCCGGACAGCTCCAGGGCGGGCAGGCAGGGACCGCCCCGCCGCGGGGACAGCGCCAGAGAACTGCTCCTCCCGTGCGGGGCAACTCTTCCCTAGGAGACACCCACACACCCCGCCTCGCCAGTGAACACCCCAGCCTTACGCTCGGCCCGCACCGCTACAGGGAAGGGCAGCACCACTTCACTACGAAAGGGTGGGGGGCCGAAACCTTTCCGAAGGCACCCCGGAGAGAAGCGCCGCGCACACTTTTCCACCGTCCGCCTTCCCTCCTCCGCCCTCACGTCACCCGGCGCCCGTACTCCGCCCCACTCGGCACATCCTCCCTCCTTCCCTCCCCGCCCCCGTGAGCCGCGCTCCTCCCCCGGCGCCGGCGGCTTCCAGAAGACTCCGCTGGCAGCGCCACAAAGCTCCCGCCCGTGACATTCGGCGCGGCGCAGCGTTCGCGCAGGCGCGGGGCGGTGCGCGGCGGGCGCGGCCGGCGCGGCGACTTCTGGGAAGTGCGCGCGTGCGGGTGGCGGCGGTCGGAGCGGGCGGTGCAGCCATGTCGGCCATGGGGACTCTGGCGTTTGACGAGTATGGGCGGCCCTTCCTTATCCTGAAGGACCAAGAGCGCAAGACGCGCCTCATGGGCTTGGAGGCGCTCAAGGTGAGCGAGCGGGGCGGCTGCCGGGGCCACCCGCGGGCCCGCGCTGGTTGGGCCGCGCCGCGCCATGATGTGCTGCGCCATGCTGTGCCGTGCTGCGCCATGCTGTGGTGTGCCGTGCTGCGCCAAGCCATGCTGTACCGTGCCGTACCGTGCCGTGCTGCCGCGAGCGGCGGGAGGATGGAGCCCCTGGGGCGAGGCGCTGCCGCGCTCAGCGCCAGCCCCGCCCGAGGCGCAGGGCGGATGGAACCCGGACTGGGCCCGGGAGCGGGGGAGGGATGGAGGAAGAGAGAAAGCATCGCCCCGGGGCTGGGGACCCGCGGCACGGCGTGGATCCGCCCCCGAGCTGCGGGCCGTGGGGCCGGCACCCCCGTGGGGCAGCGCGGCCCTCCCGTGGCTCCTGCCCAGCCCCCACGCCCCCTCCCTTAGACCGCCGCCTGAAGCTGGCTGCCGAAGAAAGGCCGGGGCTGAGTGCGGGTGGTCTAAATCCCGACGGAAGAAGAGAGCGGACACTGGAAGAGAGAGGTTGTGGATGCCCCCATTCCTGGCAGTGTTCAGGGGAAGGTTGTATGGGGCACTGAGCAATCTGGTCTAGTGGAAGGTGTTCCTGCCTCTGACAGGCAGTGGGACCTGGATGGTCTTCAAGGTCCCTTCCAAGCGAAACCATCCTGTGATGATTCTATGATGGGTAAAATTGCACCGCCTTCTCTTTAGTGTTGCCGGCCTCTGTTGCTCCCTGCTTTGAGCGTTAGGGCTGTCATTTGGCTGCTCTGCTTTTGCATGCTTTAGCAGAGCCAGCACAAGCAATACAAGCAATAGTTGTCAGTTAAATTACAACATTTGCACTACTCGCTGTGTTTTCCTTAGCTTAATATTGTGATTTTGGAATGCGTGGTAATGATTTAACTTCTGTCTTTGTTATGCTTTGTTTTACAGTCTCACATAATGGCAGCAAAGGCTGTAGCAAGTACTCTGAGAACATCCCTTGGGCCCAATGGTAACAATAAAAAACTTTTAGTGTTTCTCTTTTAATAATTGTTGTGGGGGAATTTTCAAAATTTTCCTTAATCATTTGAATATATGTTTTTTAGGCTTGGATAAAATGATGGTGGACAAGGATGGTGAGGTGACTGTGACAAATGATGGTGCTACCATCCTGAATATGATGGATGTGGATCACCAGATAGCCAAACTTATGGTGGAGCTGGCTAAATCTCAAGATGATGAGATTGGGGATGGAACTACAGGAGTCGTTGGTAAGAAAGCGTTTTAAATTTAGCTTCCCTTTTCAAGTTTAAAATCAAGCTGCTTCAGCTATTTTTAAAAATTGTGAGAAATAACAGTAGCTTTTCTGTAGCACTTCTTTGGAGTATTTATTGTTGCAGTATGTCAGTTCTTGTATGAGAAGTCTTCTAATCAGGAAGAATCTTTTGTATTTTTTTGAAGTCTGGTTACATTTTAAGGTAGTGCTGAGAGCCCCTTTGATACTTTCAAAAATTGTTTTGCATATTTTTCTTATGTAGTCTCCTTGTCTTGCCTTGATGCCTGTGCTTCATTTTGGTCTTAATGTGGTTCTCTTGCTAAGCAAAGCAAGTAGAGGTTTTCGTGGTTTTTTTGTTATTTAGGAAACCTTGAACTCTTAAAATACTGCAGAAAAATCAGAAAATATGTTTTTTAATGTACTTAAAATTATGCTCCAAACAAGAATAAAACTTCTTAATTTTTTTTTTTAATAGTTCTGGCTGGGGCATTACTGGAACAGGCAGAGCAGTTGCTAGACCGAGGCATTCACCCCATCAGAATAGCAGATGGTTATGAGCAGGCAGCACGCATTGCTATTGAGCATCTAGACAAAATCAGTGACAGCTTCCCAGTTGATCCACAGAACACTGAGCCTCTGATCCAGACAGCAAAGACAACTCTGGGCTCTAAAGTGTAAGTCACAAAAACTGAATATTGAATGAATATTTACCCTTCCATTGAAAACCCTCTGCGTGGAAAGGAGAAATCGTGGTGTTTGTGTTATTGAAATGCTGCTGAAGGCTCTTCTGTGTTTTGTTTTAGCTAATTCCTCCATGGACTCCTGTCCCAGGATAAGAAATTGTGACTCCTTCATCTCCAAAGGGTCATTTCCATGAAATTAAATAGCTGCAGCATCAATTTCATTCTAACCTGTTAGTTCCAGGTTTCTGCATCATAGCAGGTTCCAAAAGTAATCTGAATCTGTTAAAAATAACAACATGTCATCTTAGGGGTTTTTTTTTCCGCTAAAAAAAATTTCACCTAAGATGGTTCCAAAAGTTCAATTTTCCTTTATGGGTTTTCTGTGTAGTTCATAAATGTAGACATTGGAAGGGCTTCCCTTGCAGAATTGTCTTACGCATGGTTTCTGTTTCTTGAATGTTCTTTAGTCGTTTAGTTCTCCTGACTTGTTCCAAATCTTGATTGAGACTCCATTGGCAAAGGTTCCTCACACCAACTGTACCATGTTTTCAGTTTTCTGACATAGCCAGCACCCTCTGTTTCTGTGAACAAAGAAGCAGGACCCCCTCTTTTAATATAGTGTGCAGAAGTTGATTGCTGTAAGTGGTACTTCTTGCTGTTTAAGATCTATTGATAGAATGACCTTTTTCTTCCAAATGGTGGAAAGGGAGTACAACATGACTGTATTTTCTTCAAACCTAGAGTGAACCGCTGTCACAGGCAAATGGCAGAGATTGCTGTGAATGCTGTACTGACAGTAGCAGACATGGAACGTAAAGATGTTGATTTTGAGCTGATCAAAGTGCAAGGCAAAGTGGGTGGTAGATTGGAAGATACACAGTTGGTTAAAGGAGTGATTGTGGATAAAGATTTCAGTCATCCACAAATGCCTAAAGTAAGTGCTGTCCTTGTGTGTGTCTCTTGTGTGTAATGACTTAAATAAGAGTGTCTAGCCTACCTCAAATGTCACCCTAGCATTTATTAAGTGTTTACACAGTCTTGGCTTTTCACCATATATCAGCAGAGGAAGGGGCAAGGAGCATGAAATTTTTCATATTGGAAGAGATCAAGTTAGAATTTACAACAATATTGAGAAAGTGTGGTGGAAGAGAGGAATTACTGTACTGCTAAGTGAGGACAGCTGCAGGATTCTATGTTATATAGAAATAATTACTGCTGGTGTGTGATATGCTTAATATGCTTAGTGCAATGCAGTGTTAAGATTCTTAATCTTTGTGAATTGCCATGTTGTCCTGTTTGGAACACCCCGGAAACTGTCCTTGTTTTGTGTTTGGTGTAGGTAAGTTCTCCAAGTCTTTGGGCAGTGTACTTCAAGAAAACTTCTACATTTCTAAAATACTTACCTAGCAGGTAACAGTGTTTATCCTGTAGAAAGGAAGACTAGTGGAAAATAACAGTCATGTAATAGTTGAAAAGTTGTTACAAAGACCAGTAGTGTTCTCAGTGGTCACAGTGGATAGGGATGGTTTAACTGAATTTTTCTTTTGTTTTTTTAAACATTAAACCATAAAAAGGCATGACTGGTAAAGATTGTTAAGGGCTTAAACAGTGTCTTGGAGCTATGGAATTTGTTCTAAGTGGTTTATTGAGACTATTGACAGAATTATTTAGTTATACTTAGTTAATTTTAGAATAAGTCAAATGATCTTCACATTTGTTCATATGTTTGTGTTTATAAAGATACATGTGTATGTTTTGCAAATACAATAAAGCGATGTTAATGAGGTCAAAAATAATCTTTTTTTTTATTATTATTTGTCCAGGAGCTAAAAGATGCTAAAATTGCAATCCTTACTTGTCCATTTGAACCACCTAAGCCTAAAACCAAACATAAACTTGATGTCACATCTGTGGATGATTACAAGGCACTGCAGAAATATGAAAAAGAGAAGTTTGAAGAGATGGTGAAGCAGGTAGCCTTTGGGATTATTTCTGATTTCTTTGTCTTTCATAACCTTTAGAAGAAAACAGCATAGTGCATTGATCCTGTAAATGAGCTGCTAATCATGGTAGGAAGCAACATACAAGCAGTTGTAATGCTGTGAATCAAAGATAATGTAATGTAGGAAAGAGATACCAGCTTGGTTAAAAATATATTTTGATCTGTGTGTGCCAGAGGATTATTCTTAAGAATTGTCTTTTGAGAAAATTGGGAGAATTAAAACCATGAAGAGTGAAGGTTGATGATTTGTGTTGCTTTTAGATAAAAGACACTGGTGCAAACCTTGCCATTTGCCAGTGGGGTTTTGATGATGAGGCAAATCACTTGCTGCTCCAGAATGAGCTGCCTGCTGTTCGTTGGGTTGGTGGACCTGAAATAGAAGTAAGTAAAACTGGGCTTTGTGCCAGTTGTTAAAACATTTATGAAGTAATAGACTGTACCAGCTAAAAGTTCAGGCTTTCTGAGTATCACTGCATAATTGTGTATATGGGTGGGATTTGGAGAAAAATCATTGAGGATTTGAGAGAAAAACCTACCATGGAGGGGATTATGGTTTATAATTGGAGCATATTAAGTATATTACTTAATAAAAATTTTAGGTGTCTAGGAAGGTTTCTGTTTTTGTCCTGCTATTGGCAGAAACAAAACATTGGCTGAACTACTTCGAAGTGCTGCAAAACTAACCTTTTGGAGTAGGTATTTGACAGATGCTTTTCCACTAGTTTTATG